GATAGTATACACTTTCTAGACTCTTGAACATTGTTATTGATATTTGGAAACACTTCAAAGTTTGATATTGATATGTTTGATATATTTGTTCACTTGTTTTAAATAATGTCAAATTGAGCTAACTATGACTGAAAAGAGGAAATTGGAGAATTTAATGACTCCAAGCCTAAAGTTTATACACCACTAAGCTTTATGCTTAGCGATAGTTGTTTTCTATCGTAGGAAATGTTCGGGATGAAATCTGAAGATGGTCAGGGTGAAGTAGTCTCTTTGGGAGAATTTATGAAGATCACATTTGCATATGCACCTTGGTTTGCATAGTTTTGGGACATGTACATGATATACATGATATACAGGATATATACATACATATATATATATATATATATATATATATATATCACACTTATGTTATTTGGAGGCTTGTTGGATTTTAAAGACCAAAATCTTGTAGCTTGAATTTGTAACCTATTTTATTGTATTAGGGTGTTTTAATAACTCAAGTCTTGTAATATGCTGAATTTACACTTTGTTTTGTAAATATGTAGAAAAGGAGAAAACTAGTTTCCTTTGTTTCTTATATATACCCGATAGTTTGAAATTTATGTACAATATAAACTTGTAATGATTTTGAATGATTGTATAAGTCTGTTAGGAAGTTGCTTTAATCTGTTGATTAATCCAGAAGGGTTATATCACCATATGTTAATATTTTGACATTGTATTTCATTTAAAATAAAATTATGGTGTATTTTCAAATATATATATATATTGCACTTTGAACCTTTTCGCATAGGCCTACTTCCACTACTAAAATTATTCTAAATATTTTTATTAATATCTCTTTTAATATTTTGTAAGTAGGAAATTATATTTGTTTTCCTAAGTAGTACCCTTCCAAAGGGGTTACTACATGACATAAATGGAAGGGGAAAAAACGAAAGAGGGGGAGGTATAATTAAGAGGATTTAATTAAAGAATAGATAGAAACGGATACAACTTGAAAGCATAAAAAAGGCATAAAATTAGACAAAAAGCAGGAAAAAATCAAAAAAAAAGAAAAAATTAGATAAATAAGATCCTTGGCCAAAAAGATGTGCCAACTCATCTCCTATTTTTTACAACTTTATATATAGATAGATAGATGTATTGGAATCATTATATCTTCCGTTTTAACAATATATTCAAAAATTTCGATGAAAGAATTAAAGTCACCAAAGTATATGCAAATATTTTGAGATTCTAAGAGAAAAAGGAGACTTTGTTACATGTCAATTTAAGGAAGCAAAAAATGCCAAAATTTTCATAACAGCAA